CATCGCCTCTCTTTCCCCCGCAGTTTCTCATAGGCTCGCTCAATTTCAAGAAACGCGTTAAGCTCGTATCGATTACAACGTTCGAGGCGATGTTTGTGGCTGACCGCTTGGCGTTTTCGAGCCTGTGCTCAGTAATCGTGAGATTTTAAACAGCTGCGTGGTTTAATTACTTTTTTGGTGGGAAGGGGGGGGGGTGTGAAACGTAGAGTTTGGGATTTGAATTCATGCCCTTTATTTCTCAAGTCCAATGTTTAAGAAACGTATTGTGATGTCGCCGTCAATCACGTTGGGTGAATGTGTCCCACCTCGTCCGACTGCCCTCCTAATGCGCGTTATCTTTCTATCTTTACGCAATCTCAGTGGAGCTGGCCCATGACGACGATGATGGAAGTTGATGCCGCACACACACACGCAACAACAACAAAAAACCCTAAAAAGTTTGAGTGATTTCGATTTAAAGCTTTCGTGACTGCAGGGATTCATCTTCTTGGTTCTTTCGGTAAAGTCACGTAGAATGGAAATAATAAAATCATAAAAATAAAACATAATAAAATAATTCTCACGACATTTCGGCCACAACGCAAGCAGCCATCCTCAGGTGAAGAACAGGTCTGTCTTCTCGACAGACCTGTCCTCAGGTGTCCTCAGGTGAAGAACAGGTCTGTCGAGGAGACAGAGTCTGAATGGACGCTGTCTCCTCGACAGACCTGTTCTCCACCCGAGGACGGTTGCTTGCGTTGTGGCCGAAACGTCGTGAGAATTATTTTATTATGTTTTATTTTTATTATTTTATTATTTCCCTTCTACGTCACTTTACCGAAAGAACCAAGAAGTTTGAGTGATCTTCAACGTCACGGGACAACAGGCGCGTTCCAGCCAATCACGGCCAAGTTGCTGGCAACCGCGTGCGACTCCTCGAGCCTCAAGCCTCAAGTCTCCGCGTGCGCTTTGTTCAGCGCAGGTGAGCGATCAAGAAACCAGCATGGGTGTCTCTCTAACTTGCGGGAGGTACCCTGTGACATTAGCGATGACAGAAGGAGGTGGGGGGTGATGATTGACTGCCGCTGTGTAGAATCTCACACCCCCCCCCCAACACACCTTGAATAGTTTAACGATTCATCTTCTTGGTTATTTCGGTAAAGTCACGTAGAAGGGAAATAATCAAATAATAAAAGTCAAACATAATCAAATACAATTTATTATGTTTTTTTTATTTTAAAAATAAAATAATAAAAATCAAACATAATAAAATTAAATTTATTATGTTTTATTTTTTTTATTTTAAAAATACAATAAAATAAAACATAATAAAATACAATTTAGTATGTTTTATTTTTCTTATTTTATTATTTGCCTTCTACGTGACTTTACCGAAATAACCAAGATGAATCCGTGCAGTCACGAAAGCTTTAAATCGATTTTTAACGATTGTTATATTTTAATTATATATAATGTGCATCCTGACGCTGGCACACTACGAACTTATTGCCAATGACGTTGAGATATGCATCGTTGAACTTCTTTCGCACCGCACGTAGCCAACCGTGTTCGTCGGAGGCGCGTGGTAATGAGGACAACAAAACCCAACAGACGGCTCGTGGTACCGTCATGATGATCGCATACCGCGGTTATGACCAGGGCGGCCGCTGCGAGATTCCAAACCGTGAACATCTCTGCGAAAGCGAGCGGCAGACGCGCTGCTCCTCGGCCTCGCAACCGCCACATCTCGATACGAACGACCGCCGACCACGTGACTGACACGTGGAGGAGTGTGAGCGATGAGACCGGTACAATGCAATGTTCTTCACACTCCCGCCACGTGTGTGGGGGGAGAGGCGGTGCAGCGGTGGTTCGCCCCGCCACGCTACGAACCCGGCCACCCGGGTTCGATTCCCGCGACACGGCCACTAACACCAGCGACGATTATCTGAACCGGTTCTCTGGGCCACCCCGAGGTCGACTCGGCCTCAAAATGTGTGCGGTGTGTAAATGTGGTCACGAGGGAGACAAAGGCGGCCGGGCGTGGTGTTGGCCACCCCTCCCAACAGTCTGTTAAGGCTACACGGGGGATCTTTGTCGAAGTGTAACTTCCTTAACAAAGCCATGCGGTAATGTCACCAACACAAATTGTTTCTCTAAGTGTATCGTCCTCGCCCAAGCAGCTGCCCAACAACAATACTGATTCCTTGAATTATGCATTAAATGTTTTATGGACAACCATGCGTCACAACATTATATATTAACGTAAAAATATACATACAAGCAGAGTTGGCTAACGTTTCGGGCAACGAGCCATCGCAATAGCCCAACAGATATATTTGTTTCCGTTACAGGGCAATGTTAATAATGATGATAACGACGGCGGCTGAGGTTTGGTTATGTTTGTTGGTGTTCACTTACGTGCGCGTAGCATCACTGCCAAGGGCCAAGTCGCGCGGATACTGCACGCGGCAGCCAAGATCATCACGCCGACATGGAGCTCGCAAGACCCCCCACCCCCGACCCGCCCCACGCCAGGATTTCACAAATGTTAAGCCTTCTTGGTTCTTTCCCCAGGCTTGGAGCGACTATTTATGCTGGGATGGAGGGGCGAAGAGTGTCTTGACAAAGGATGCTTCAACAAGCTCCGGGTTGAGAAGGCTCAGCTAATCGAGTCTCTCACCTTTCTGAAGAGATGCCGCGACTCTAAGGTAATACCAATCGCATTTACACTAACCTCTTGATATGCAAATTATTTTGTCAAGACGCTCTTCGCCCCTCCTTACCAGCATAAATAGTCGCTCCAAGCCTGGGGCGTACCATTCAAACTCTGCCTTCTCGACAGACCTGTTCTCCACCTGAAGACGGCTGCTTGCGTTGTGGCCGAAACGTCGTGAGAATTATTTTATTATGTTTCATTTTTATTATTTTTTTATTTTCCTTCTACGTGACTTTACCGAAAAAACCAACAAGATGAATCCCTTGCAGTCACGAAAGCTTTAAATCGAAAATTAAATGTTAAGCCGTTACGCGCCGCGCGCACCCGATGATCGTTAAACACGCTCACAAAGACAAAGACCCCCCCCCCACCTCCTCCTGTGTAGCATTAACAAACTTTTGGGGCAAGTGCTGTTAGCGAGCTCCTGTGAAGACCGGCACGGCATGCTAACGGGGGGGTGTATTTTTCGATTTAAAGCTTTCGTGACTGCAGGGATTCGTCTTCTTGGTTCTTTCGGTAAATTCACGTAGAAGGGAAGTAATAAAATAATAAAAATAAAACATAATAAAATAATTCTCACGACGTTTCGGCCACAACGCAAGCAGCCGTCCTCATTTGAAGACCAGGTCTGTCGGGGAGACAGTGCTGTATATTACTTCCCTTCTACGTGACTTTACCGAAAGAACCAAGAAGATAACGGGGGGTGGTTGGCCACCACCACCGCCCGCCTTTGTATTCCTAAGTTGCGATGTTTTACACGCCACGCCAGGTGCCCATTTGAGGCCGAGCCGACCTAGGGCAGAGACCCAGGACGGTTCAGATAATCGTCACTGATGTAGGTCGTGAGCAGAGAATCGAACTCGGCGTCGCCGGGTTCGTAACGCGGTGCGCTAACCGCCGCGCCACCGCTCCTCAGCGCGCGGCCGACACGGGCGCGCGCACGCACGCGCGCGCTCTCTACCCTGCGTTGCAATCGTTACTGGTCTGCACGTCGGGATGTGTTTGCCAATCATCGGGCAAAGGCGGCGTGTAACGCCATTTGAACGGATGAGGCTTTGGTAAAGGGTGGACAGGCGGAGGGAAGCGTGGTGGGTCGCGAGGTCTTGAGTACTGGGGGGGGCGGGGGGGGCGAGGGGCGAGGGGGAGGGGCGGGGGGAAGCCCCGAAAATTAATTTCGCGCACGCGCGGACTTCTCTGCCATGCGTTTCCGCGTTGTACCGCGTGATGCATTGTGACTCGACGCCCGACGTTTCGCTACACGTTCTGGAACGGGGTTTTGTGGCTGTTGTTGTAACGTTTCTGATGGCCCGCGGTCGAGTTCCTAAAGAAGAAGAAGGTGCCAGCACGCGGAGCGAAACGTCGGACAACACGCCGAATACCACAGTGGAGAGCTGTTGAGCACATTACCGGGGACCGTCTGCACGCAGTGCTCACAGCTGCACCACGGCGCTACGACAGTTGCTCTGCACACAGCTGGAGATTATTTTTTATTATATTTATATCTAAAAAAATACGAGCACAGAACCCGTTACTCCTCTTCGATGGAGGGCGGCTGTCAATGTTATACTCTTCTCATGCTCCTCCTGTACTCGGGTTCACCGAAGGACACCTGAATAGTTTTTTTACGTAATAATAAAATGCAAATAATATGTATATAACGTGATTGGGAGGTGTTTGTTTTATATTCTCGAGGATTTAAATGCCATTCTGGCGAAATAATTCCATTGTTAAATCGGAGCGCGAATTTAAAAGTTAGAGTAATTTTAAATGAACAGTGGTCAGTCTTCTGCATTCGTGACTCCCACCTCTTACGATGTCGCTATCTAACAAACGTCGTCCGAACGTCTCCTTCCACCGTTCCAACTCAACTCGAAGGTTTATTCGTTGCACGGAGAATCCCCGTGTAGCCAGTTACCCAGCTATACTTTCGCTTGCCATGGCCAGCAGCCGACGAACAAAACAAAGTTACTATTGGGGTGGAGGGGAGCCCAGCCAACAGCCAACCAGGAAACTCGAGGCATGGATAAAAAAAAACATTTTAAACATTCCAGCAATACCCCGCTTTACGGCGGGCATGCGTTCCCGAAACGTAGCGACGCCAATCGATGCGGATTGACAACGGTGGGTGTCGGTGGAGGCGAAGGCGGAGAGGCGACGTGAGTGTGGGGGTTGGGGCGACGCAAATCGGGTTAGTGGCGTGAATCATAAAGTGACGACGTATTTGCGAAACGACGTAAAAAGAGGAAGAAATAAATCGGAGAATTGCTAGAAAGACATTTTCCGAATCCCCACCTCTCCCCCCCCCTGCCCCTCAATTTTATGACGATTGTTGCTCTCGGAGTGAAGTGACGAGACGAAGGCTCCATCCCCGACCTCCCGTGTTGTGAGAGAACGTCCCGCGGAATGGGATATCACAGAGCCACCTCCGAGACCTCGTCTTCATTCGAGTGGTGCACAGAGACCAGGGGGGGAGTGGACGGACGAAATGTTCTTCGGAGGTCGCGTGGTAGGGATAACCGCGAATCTCCGCTGCCAGAAGTAAAACGATCGCACCAAAAAAGATTCGTAACAAGTGGAGAGACGACCGAGATAATATAACGAAACTCCGGGTCGCCTCTTGCGAGTCGAACGTCAGAGTTCAAGGTCCATCACCCGTGACCCCTTAGTCACACTGAATCCTCACTGTGTCGATTCGATCGCTCTGCTGTTAACAGAAGAGGGGCCCATTGCCCGAAACGTCGCCGATGACGTGTCTTCTTTTGGTCTTTCTTTCTGGCAGCAGTGTTTTCGACGAATGCGTTGAGCGTTTTTCGTTGTTTGTACACCGCTGCCAACGAGGTGGTTATCTCACACACACACGCACAAAACGACGACATGTGTGTTATTCTAGCTCGCGTCTCTATCCGCGGCGTTCAATATATTTCTCTTTTCTTCTCTCTCTTTCTCTCTTGCTTCGCGAAAAAATAATGATCCCGCGACAAAGGCCCCGGGGAGTCCTCACAACCTTTACCAGGTCACCGAACAAATGGCAGGCACAGCAGAGACCGCTGTCATCACAGTCCGCTAACCTCCAACCCTCACCAGTTCCCCCCCCCCGCCGCCCGCCTCCACCGCCTTTGTATCTTCTACAGTCGGTATTTATACAAGCACACGCGCATTGTGTGCCCGTGTGTGTTGTCCCGTTACATATACCTACCTGTATACTGTATTTCCGTTGGAGGGGGATGTCGCGTGTGTGTGTGTGGGGGGGGGGGGGGGTTGCGTTGTTGTAGGAAGGTTCCAGCTCTTTCTCTAGCTGTGGCAAAGTCTCTGCTTGTCTAGAAACACAAGCGCCGTTTGCCTCTCACAAAGTGGTACTCGATTTATCGACCCCCGCGCCTGATATAGAGATGATGGGCTGAATTGTCCACCAGTCACTCAGGTCGGTCGTAGCAACGATCACAACGGCAACAGCACCCAGCCATTCGACCGCGAAGTGACGGTGCTTGTGCCAGGCTAGGTGCACCTCGTGGTATGGGTTCAGAGCGCGTTGGTGCCACCACAAGCCCACACACACACAGGTATATACACAGTATACACAATCATATTGCTTGAAGCATCAGCGCAGACTTTAGACCACGGCTGAGTTCATCTGCGTGGACTTCGCATTCACGGAGCCGCCGCAACGGAGCCGCAAACTGTCGGAGGCTCAGGTTCGACTCTGGGTTCGGGTCGTCTGGCAGGTGGCGGCTGCTGTTGTTGCTGCTGCTGCTGTTGCTGCTGTTGCGGCTGTTGCGGCTGTTGCTGCTGCGGCTGCTGCTGTTGCTGCTGCTGCCGTTCCTCCGCCTCCAGTTGCTCGCTGGTCGGAATCGAATTCTTGCGAGGACGACCCTTGGGCTTGGTGGGCGACTCCAACCCTCCGCCCTGCAACACCTGCGAACACGGGCACACGGATGTTGTTAGCGAGCACCTATTAAGGTGTGGGGGGGGGTGGCAAAACGGATGCTGTTAGCGAGCACCTATTAAAGTGTGTGTGGGGGGGGGGTGGCAAAACGGATGCTGTTAGCGAGCACCTATTAAGGTGTGGGGGAGGCAAAACGGATGCTGTTAGCGAGCACCTATTAAGGTGTGGGGGGGTGGCAAAACGGATGCTGTTAGCGAGCACCTATTAAGGTGTGGGGGGGGCAAAACGGATGCTGTTAGCGAGCACCTATTAAGGTGTGGGGGGTGGGGGGCAAAACGGATGCTGTTAGCGAGCACCTATTAAAGTGTGGGGGAGGGGTGGCAAAACGGATGCTGTTAGCGAGCACCTATTAAGGTGTGGGGGGGGGGGGTGGCAAAACGGATGTTGTTAGCGAGCACCTATTAAGGTGTGGGGGGGGGGGTGGGGCAAAACGGATGCTGTTAGCGAGCACCTATTAAGGTGTGGGAGGGGGCATAACGGATGCTTTTAGCGAGCACCTATTAAGGTGTGGGGGGGGGGCAAAACGGATGCTGTTAGCGAGCACCTATTAAGGTGTGGGGAGGGGGGGGACATAACGGATGCTGTTAGCGAGCACCTATTAAGGTGTGGGGAGGGGGGGGCATAACGGATGCTGTTAGCGAGCACCTATTAAGGTGTGGGGAGGGGGGGGCATAACGGATGCTGTTAGCGAGCACCTATTAATGTGTGGGGGGGGGGACGGCGCGCGAGATAGTGGGGTGTGACTCTCCCGGCTGCCTTTGTCTCCCCCCGAGTGAGCGTTGTGATCGCCGAGTCGTGTTGTTGTGGTCAGCAGAGAGGTTGAGATGTAAGGCCGTGGTCGGGAATGAAAACTGGGGGAAGCCGGGGTTTTAAGAAAGGTAAAGGATGCTCCATGTAGCCTCAGCAGGCTACTGGGGCAAGTGTGCCTATGGAGGCCGGAACGGCACGCGAGGGGGTGGGTGTCTAGCAACACTCACAGCCGCCTTTGTCTCCCTCGTGGCGATGTTTGCACACCGCATCAGGTACTCACTTGAGGCTGAGTCAACCTAGGGGAGGCCCAGGACCGGTTCAGATAATCGTCACTGGTTTGGCCGTGAGTAGGAATGGAACTCGGGTCGCCGGATTCATAGCGCAGCGCGCTAACCGCTGCACTACCGCTCCACACTACTCACCAACACACCCACTCCGCATCAGCTACTCACTTGAGGCCGAGTCAACCTAGGGGAGGCCCAGGAGTTCGTGGCGCAGCTTGCAAACCCGCTGCGCTACCGCTCATCGCTCTCTTAATGAACTAAACACTTTGGGTTCATCCGTGTTCGTTTAAAAAAAAAAACAATCTTAGAGTTTCCAACATTAATGCACACGTTTAAAATTTCATCTCTCTCTCTCTCTCTTACATCTTTAAAGTCTGCCCGTGTCGAGCAAATACACAATGTTTAAATATTGTAATGTAAGTTGACGTGTGTTTTTTCTAATATATGTATGTCTATTACACAGTATGTGGGTGGGCTTATTAATATATGTGTGTGTGTGTCTCTGTTCGTGTGTCTATAACTTATATAGTATTTAATATACGATACTTACATTTTCCAAAATAGCCCAAAATTATTTAATAGATACGACACATGAAATGGAACACGCGGGGAACACAGACAGAACCGACGGGTGTCTTTGAAGATTATTTTTCTTTAAAATACGTATTCATAGCGTAAAAAGTCACCTTCTTCTAAGCCGTCTGGCCGGCGTGGAAGAGTAGGCCAAACACCCTCTCTCGGACTGTCTGTAGTGTAGGCCCTTCCGCCAGCAGTTGTGCGAGGAAAGCAATTGCAGGGCTGCGCCTTGAACTTTTATTTTATTTTCGACCACAACCAGAAGTTTAACCGCAACGCGATGCGAATGAGCGCTGTCAGCGAGCGCCTATTAAGGCCAGCACGTGCAAAACCGTCGACATGTGGCTAACATTCACCGAGGGCATCTATCTGCCTCGTGTAGCCCACACTTTCCCAAGGTCGTGGACTCGAGTAACGGGTCTGAGTTGACTCGGCACCACCACCACCACGATCGTTGCGACTATCATCATCGCCACCAAAACAAAGACAAAGATGGCCCGTGTAGCCTTAACAGACTGTTGGGGCAAGTGCTGTTAGCGAGTAGCAATCTATGAAGGCCGGAACGGCACACGTGGAGGTGGATGGCCAGCACCACACCCGGCCGCCTTTGTCTCCCGAGTGACGATGTGTACACACCGCACCAGGTACTCATTTAAGGCTGAGTCGAGCTAGAGGGAGGGCCAGGAGCGGTTCAGATAATCGTCACCGATGTTGGTCGTGAGCGGGAATCGAACTCGGGTCGCCGTACACACACACACGCACGCGAGCACTCCACACGACCACACTGGAGCAAACCCACCGACAAGCAAACTTGTTTTGTGCCGAGTCAATCTAGGGGAGGCCCGCTCCGTGTCCAGATACTAATCAGAGCACGTTCACAATCAGGTAAGGCTTCGATTTCAGTTCCTGGTTTTTTTTTGGTGGGGGGGGGAGGTGAGTCAGCCCATCATCCTACTTCACGGCCGATAAAAATGAGTACCACTTTGTGAGCAAGTCAACAGTTGGTTGTGCTATGTCAATGGTTCTTAAGCTGGGGTGCGAGAGATGACCAGATTTATTTTTAGAAGGTAAATAATCGAAAACACAAATGAACCACCGTCCTATGTTTACGAAGGCACTCTGCGGACCCGCCATAGGAACGTGGAATTTTCAACCCGCCGACATCAGGTGGCGTCGAAAAATTCCACACTCTCACGTTGACTCTCTGTGTAACCCAGGCTTCCTCGCTAACTTTCAGCGGGGGGGGGGGGGGGGTACGGGGGCCACTTGCAATGAAGACTCTCGCTGGGCGCGCGTGACTTCAGCGAAGGGGAGGCATGAACGTAGCTTGTCGAGATATTTAATGCACTGCCCCCCCCTCTCTCCCACGCGCCTTCTTCATTCATCCTTAAATAAACAAAGGTGAGGGATGAATCATGGTAAGGTAGGGGGGGCGAGCGAGCGAGCGAGCGAGCGAGCGGGGGGTGGGTTGGCAATGCTTCAGTCGGCTTGGCCCAAGTAATTATCTCTCTCTCTCTTCCCCGGCACACAAAGGCGCTCACTGTGTTGTGTTTAGAGAGCTCCTTTCGTGTTGCGTTGTTGCGTGAGATGCCTCCGAGACTGAAATGACGCTCCTGCGAAGAGGATGCGATGGAGCAGCGCCGCAACTTGCGCTGCTTGTGGATTGAAAATTCCTCTTCTTGGTTCTTTCGGTAAAGCCACGTAGAAGGGAAATAATAAAATAATAAAAATAAAACATAATGAAATAATTCTCACGACGTTTCGGCCACAACGCAAGCAGCCGTCCTGCTTGCGTTGTGGCCGAAACGTCGTGAGAATTTTATATTTTATTTTTATTATTTTATTATTTCCCTTCTACGTGACTTTACCGAAAGAACCAAGAAGATGAATCCCTGCAGTCACGAAAGCTTTAAATCGAGATTGAAAACTCGTTCTTTTGTAACTGCTTTCTTTGCGTCTCGTTCGTTGTCCTTCCTCAGCACATCCGATGAAACACGGTTGGCCCCGTACGGCGCGAAAGAAATTCAACATACACACGTGCGTATAACCAAATACGTCACGCATGGACTCGATATGTATCTGTCCACGTAACTGAATAACAGTGATACTGGTAGGAACCTCCTGGTTACACGAGCCCACACGGGATTATTGTGTCCGTCGTGCAGGGAGGGGCTGGGTGGGGAGGGAGGGGCTGGGTGGAGAGGAGATGGTGGGGAGGGGCTTGGTGGGGAGGGTGGGGCTGGGTGGGGAGGGGAGGGTGGGGAGGGGCCGGGTGGGGAGGGTGGGGAGGGGCTGAGTGGGGAAGGTGGGAAGGGACTGGGTGGGGAGGGTGGGGCTGGGTGGGGGGTGGAAGGGGTGGGGCTGGGTGGGGAGGGGCTGGTCATCCCGTGGTGCCCTTATAAAACCCAACGTTTCACCTACTCACGCCGGCTTGTGCCCGCCCTCACAGTCGGGCATATTTCCGGAATACACCACGCCGCCGTTGACCCTGGCCATTGACCGAGCAACCCAACGTTCCTACCAGCTCCCTCCGCAGGAATGTGTTATTTCTATTTTTGTTACGCAACTCATCTGCCGAACAGCCTTCTGGGAGGAGTGAATCGTATCAGCGGCATTGGTTCAGCACGAGCAAAACTCAGGACCGGTGTCGACTTTCATTGTGTCTCATCAGCGGAGTCAGCCTCGCTTGAAGCAATGCCCCGGCGAAGTGCCCAACGTTCAGAGGCAACGCCCCAGGTAGGTTCCAAATTAGTCCTCGGATTATGACAAAGACAAAGACACCCCCCCTCCCCGTATAGCCTCAACAGACTGTTGGGGCAAGTGCTCTTAGCGACTATATCGCGCATAGCACAGACGCGATCAGCAAGTTCGCGGCGGTGAATATTAATCACAGAATCAGTGTGAATGGTTACACGATCAATAGCAGAGTGAACAAATAATATGACGTAAATAACGTGAATATATGGTGTTTATAGTACCGTACGCATTAACATTTTAAGTAAGTTGACGTGCAGGTGGCTATGAGTAGGGTTTCTGTGTTTCATTATACGTGGTCAACATATTCTGAGAAAATTGTTTTTGTTCTCTCTGAAACGTGATATATTTCATTTAACGCTTCGTCTCACGGCATATGCACCACGTTTCCTCTCGCCTGGCTGTGCTGGAGCGAGTTGCGTAGAGCGAGCGGATCACAGAGGGCATCTTGTGAGGTTAAAATCCAGGTTTGCCGGGGATCTACTCAGTGCATCATCCCCTCCGGGGTCGATAGAATGAGTACCACTTTGTGGAGGAAATCAATAGTGGTTGTCGTATGGATAGACCCGCCAACCCCCCCCCCCTCACCGCCATAGGAATGTGGAATTTCCACCACTAGCTATGCACCCGCTGTGAGCAGGAAATGAACACAAATGTTTCAATGCCAATTTAAGCACCAAATCGCGCATGCTGTTTGGTAATTGAGAAAATACACAAATTATTCCGCTCAAGAATTGGACCAAATATTTCCACATTCGTAATTTAATACGGCATTTTTTGTTCTAATAAATGTATGTAGGATAGAGTCGAACAGATTAAACCGCACATATATAATAATAATTGTAGAAAATTATCCTACTTCCAAAATGCAAACACAAAGGCAATTTGTACTTTTTCTGCTCAATGAGCATAGAACATTCTAATTTGATGCAATTACTAAAAATAAACTACCATTTGAAAACCATGAAACTACACTTCAACTGCTACCAATCGCAGTCACACAATGCCCTGCATTGCCATTCGTGTTTAGTTTCATTCATCGCAGAAGCTTGCATTAATACATAACATATGTTTACCTACCACCAAATTACGAATACGTGCGCTCAATTTAAATCGCATCTCGGAAGCTAAGCAGAATTGGGCCTGGTTGGCTATTGGATGGGAGAAATCGGGGCTTGTCAGGAGTTTGCTGAGGGTGAGTGTGGCTAGAGAAGAAATGGGTTGATGTGGTACAGGAGGATGTGGATCTGAGTGGACGTGCCGATGACTGCTACCAGCGGTGTCAAGATCGTCCTCTTTGGAGGAGGCTCGTGAAGGATGCTGCTGGGCAGTTGGAGGCAGTCGCTCTCCAAGCAACAACGGAAGACAACAAAGCTCACAACAACGAGCGGATCACCGGGTGGATAACATGAAAAAAGTTCGCACACTAGGGAGCATAGGTGGTGCATCTGCCAGTCATCTCAGTCAATCAACCTACACCATCTCCCGCTGGCGGCGAGCCTTCGACACTTTCACGTGGCCTCAGAGTGCACCTAGCCTGGCACAAGCGTCGCGGTGACGTCAACCGCCACTTAGTGGCGAACGGCGATTGCTGTTGTGGTGTGGCCAGGCGATGGGAAGTGCTGAGCGTCAGCGCCCCCTCACCTCCCTCGATCTACCACATGCGCCTCCATACTCCATCTCCTTCCTTCCCTTCCTCCCTCCCTCCCTCCTCCCCCCCCCTACACCCGTACTGACCAGTGTGGAGAGGCCTTCATCCAGCAGTGGATCGAACAAAACAATTGAGAAGAACCAAGCTCGGAGAGGAACTTACCATCTTCTTCCATTTCATGCGTCGATTCTGGTACCAAGTCTTCACCTGGAGCTGACTCAACCCCAAGGACTCGGCCAGATCGATCCTACGAACGAGACGGGTGCAGGCGTCACAACCCCCAGCAGAAACGAGACATCGTCTGGATTACGAATCGACCCCCTTTGTGAGCGGTCCGTTAAAATTCGCGCGCAAAGGTTGGCTGGGCCCGAGTCGGACCTCGCGACCGCCACGTGAACTCGCGGCCATTTTCCGATTGATCGTCACGCGCTCGCATCGTCGTCGTCGTCGTCGTCGCAAGCCATGGTCGATCCACTGCTGGACGATAGGGGATTGCCAATCCGCCGCAATGTAACAATGCCCCCGTCGGGCGCAGCGGCGCCTCGACTCCTACTGCGCGGAGGACGCGGTATGAACAATAAATGACGACGACCACGATGCTGATGGCGTTGATAGTTAAACTGCATATTTATTCCATTGGTACCTCATTTGCCAGTAAAAAAAATATGATAATTGGTTTTTTTACCCTTTTATCTGGCAACAAAACTGACACCTTTAATTAAAAAAAGGTGTCAGTTTTGTTGCCAGATAAAAGGGTAAAAAAACAATTATGCACATATATTTTGTATGAAAAATTCGTCCAGAAAATGTCACGATGGTAGTCACGTTACATGTTATTTTTTTTGTATATTTCCAGGTAAGGCACACTGAGGTGTATGCCTCTTTCTCAGAAGCGGCCTCTCGCCGCGAATGATAGCTCAACCACGTGGCTTATCACGTGGACATTTATAGCAGCCAAATACTCTAAGCGCGTGCTGTTGCTTCTAAATGTGGAGGGGAAAACCCGGAGGAATATCCACGCGACCACGGGGGAGAGAGACATGCAAATACAAAGGCGTCGGGGTCGAATCCACGACCTCCTTCATCCCAGGCGAGGGAGTTAACAGCATCTCGTCACCGCGTCTGTAAGTTAAACAAGTCAGGATTAGGATGTTTCACGCGTTACACGAGATTCATCGGTTTCCGCGCGAGACCATTCGGTGCGCGTGCCGCTAGCGAGCCGCGATATTGTCAAGGGGGTGGTCTGGCCATGAACCGCGCACGATCAACCGCCTTTGTCTCTCCTTTCCCGACGCTGACTCTCCACTTTGTGGACTCGTGGGCGAGGCGGTCAGCGGGCTACTGAGGAGGAGGAAGATGGACATCAAAGCACTGCTCTGGTCTCTATGGGACTTTTTTGCCAGTATCAAAATGATGAGAAATAAATATAGACTTTAGCCTTTCTGGCAATGAAAGAGCAGGTTCAAACTTGATTCGGAGCTTTCGTGACTGCAGGAATTACTCTTTGGTTCTTTCGGTAAAGGCGTTGTTTCTCTGTGTGCCTATCTGTGTGTGTGTGTGTCTCTCTTTCTCTCTGTGTCTTTGTATTATCTCTCTCTGCTTATGTGTCTGTCTGTGTGTCTATGTGTGTGTCTCTCTGTTTGTCTCTGTATGAGTCTCTCTCTGTGTGTCTATGTGTGTGTCTCTCTCTCTGTGTCTTTGTGTTATCTCTCTCTGCTTATGTGTCTGTCTGTGTGTCTATATGTGTGTCTCTCTGTTTGTCTCTGTGTTGTCTCTCTCTGCTTGTGTGTCTGTCTGTGTGTCTCCGTGTCTGTGTTTTGTCTCTCTCTCAAATTTAGCAATCTTTGGAAGAACGTAATTCAACCAGGTAGGGTGTTGACTGTTATGTTCGCCGACTCTCTGTGTTGTATTGCATTACATTTCTAAGTTTACTAGGTTTGTTTTCTCTTTCATTTGTACCTGATGATGATGTATTGTGTTGCAATCGAAACGTCGTATGCGTTTATTTAATTATTATTTTTATTTCTACGTGACTTTACCGAAAGAACCAAAGAGTAAAAAGAGGAAGTGTTTAAGATGTTCAAACCCCAAATAGACAACACCTTTTGCGAGGCATCAAAAGTCTGCATTAACCACACAATGTGTCTTACTCCCCACAAAAAAAGGTCACGGATATATAAATGCTCAATCCGAGCTCTTCGTGCTTTGATGCTTACATGGCCTTTGTGCCGTTCGCATTTTTGCATTCTCTGATCTAACACTGGCGCGGAGACTAGGCCACGGAGAAGGCCGACTCGTGTGTAGGCCATGCGGTTTCAAAGGCATTGCATATTGTCAGAGCGTGCCACAGGTATGTGTCGGTGACTGCAGACTGGATGCCTTGCAAAAGGTTGCTGTTTGGGTGTCTGAACACCTTAACGCCTCCTGTGTTATTGCCAGAAAGGGTAAAACCTATTCTCTTGTTTTGTTCATCACTGCAAAAATAGAAGTTTGTCTTAACAGGCTCTCACAATCTTACAGAGGTCAGAATCACGGTGGTGGTGGTGGTGATCAATGGCGGAGTCGGGATTTTCAGGTAGGGGGGGCAACTGCTCCAGCAATGAAAAATGATAGAGGAGTTGTTAGTAAGTAAGGACTTGTCCCTTGCTTTTTATTCGACGCGTGTGTGGCGATGGCGCAGCCATCGATCGAGGATAGAATTCGAACCGCGTCGTGTGATCGGCATCGCGCTCGCTGAAGGTGAATGCCTTCAGGGAAGTCGTGTGCTGTGTACGCAACTGCACACAATTATGTGAGCCACTTATAACCGCTTTGCCGCTACTTATTGCCAATTATGGACACATACTTTGTCCTATCATCTCATCGAGTCCCTGGCACGTAATAATATGCTACACAGTGGCAGTGGGGGTCGCAAAATGCCGATTTATTACAAAAAAAAAACAATGATCCGATCGAAATTAGGGATTTCGATCGGATCATTGGGGGGGGGGGACGTGCCACCCCCCCTCCCACTGTGGTGGTGGTGATGATGATGAACTGAATTAGATTGTGCGACACTCACTCGGATGGAGGTGGTAGCTATGCTAACTAGATGATGATAACGATTATAACTAATCGAATTGCATGATAAGACACGCATTTAGATGATGATGGTGGTGGCGATGGTGATGTTGGTGGTGATGTTCATGATGGTGATGGTGGTGGTGATGTTCTTGATGATGGTGGTGGGAGTGGTGGTGTTCATGATGATTATGGTGGTAGTGGTGATGCTCATGATGATGATGGTAGTGGTGATGTTCGTGAAGATGATGGTGGTAGTGGTGATGCCTATGATGATTATGGTGGCAGTGGTGATGCTCATGACATTGATGATGGTAGTGGTGATGTTCGTGAAGATGATGGTGGTAGTGGTGATGGTTCACGATAGTGATGATGATGATGATGGTGATTTCGCGCTCATTTACCTTGTAAAAGCATTGAAGCCATTGACATTTCCCCATCTGCAGTACGGGCAGAGACAGAAGGCAGACGGACCATCTGCCCTGCATCAGGCCCAATGGACTACTGTATAGTTTTTTTTCAATCACCACACTTTAAATAACAAACGCCACTCACGGTTTTCCAGACTCAGCGTTTGTGTGCAGGTGGATTCACTAAATAGTTAACATCTCGTGCCGGTGACACCACGGTGGCAGGATGTTAACTGCCTCGCCTGATATACAGCAAAGTGTGGGTTCGATCCCGATCCTGGACGCCTGCTGTTTATTTGGAGTTTTCGTGTTCTCTCCGCGGTCGCGTGGATTTTTCTCCGGGTCCTCCGGTTTTTCTCTCACCACATTTAAACACGCGCCTTTAGAGCATTTGGCTGCTATAAATTTCCACGTGATAGACCACTTCTTTGAGCTATCATCTGTGGCCGTGTCGCTTCTTTAAAAAAAAGCTATACAGCTCAGTGGGCCTTACCTGGTAAAATAAAAAATGTAGTTCAGTTGAAACACGCAGGCAACGTGTGGTGATTGTGACGATGATGATGATGATTTTTACAATGTCTATTTGACGATGATGATGATGATGGGACCCAAGCACCTGTTCTGGGCTCTCACCTGTCCAGTTATCATAGAATGCTGCATTCAACTTAACTGTTAAAAGTCTTCATTTCATAACTAACGAGGGTTTTGTAATATTGTCCGACGGCTGGGGACAGACATTCCTATCGGTGGCCACCTGCAACACGAGCGGTTGTTTACTTACAGGCTCTGATGTGGGCATCGGGACAATGGATTATTGAAACTATCTGTGCTGGAGATGTGTATACTGGAGTCCTATCTTGCTATTCATGGCGATGATTTCTCCAGATTGTCTCCTACACGACGGACTCACGTCTCCTTATATATTAGTACTATTTTTCGTTTCATATATAAAATATATGTTATCATTAGGATGATGTTGGCAATGATGACGATGTTGGCAATGATGATGATGATGATATTGCCGATGATTAGGAGGAGGATGTTGACGATGATGTTTGAAATGTCTATTATATATAACATATTTTTTATTATATTATAATTAACCTTATGGCGGTACCCTAGGGTACCATAGTACCCCGGCTCTCGCACAATGTCCGTGATGCAGTCATTTTTAGTCTGTCGATGATCGGCGATGCGGCAATCGACTCATCTCGACGAGCTGTACACGATGCACCACGTGGTGCGTACCGCCAGCGTTCAGGGTCTCGGCGCAATCGTTCTCGCTGCGTTTCGACATCGCGGAGTGTGGCACCGATTTCGGATTGATTGGTGCCCCAGTCGCGGCGTTGAGTACACCCTTGGACAAAAATAGTGTCCCAGAAATAAAATATTTAATTGCCTCGGCCCATTTGTATTATTTTGTAACCCAGGGTACCGCCATGAGGATCATTACATATTTTGTTTTAATGGCTAAGCATCCCATTACAGGACCCTACTGAAAAATAAGAGTCCTGAGACTCATTGAGGCTTTCCATACTGAATGATTTATTTTGTACAGCCTGCTGATCAATCAGCACCCTAACACACACCATGAGACAAAGATGGACTCATGTGGGGGGGGGGGGCGCACGGATACCAGTCCTCTTGTCTATTCAAAATCAAAGTGATTTCTTGTGGAGGCGTTCGTATCTTTGCATCCATGGGCCAGTGGCAGAAATTCCACGTTCCTATGACGGGGGCGAGCACATTCCATAGGGGCAACTACTGTTGACATCCCCCACAAAATTATGTTCATTGCATCGACCCCCCGGACATGAGGAAGGCGACGGGGTCAAGCACCAAAACCAGAATCTGATTCATCGCGACATTGGAATGGCGACATTGGAATCGCGAGCCGCTCACGAACTCGCTCGCTCCACACCAGCAGCTGGCCTGTGAAGAACAGCGAGCAGTGGAGGTTGAGATCCTGTGACCCAACCACACCCACCACTCACCACCCACCACTCACCACTCACCACCCACCACCCCACCACCCACCACTCACCACCCACCACCCACCACTCACCACCCACCACTCACCACCCACCACCCGCCCCACCACCCATCACCCACCACCCACACTCACTCACCACCCACAACTCACCACTCACCACCCACCACTCACCACTCACCACCCACCACTCACCACCCACCACCCACCACCGACCACCCACTACTCACCATCCACCACTCATCACCCACCACTCACCACTGATTACCCACCACTCATCACCCACCACCCACCACTCACCACCCACCACTCACCACCCACCACTCACCACTCACCACCCACCACCCACCACTCACCACCCACCACTCACCACCCACCACTCACCACCCACCACCCACCACTCACCACCCACCACCATCATCCCACCACTCACCACCCACCACCCACCAACCACCACCACCACCCACTACCACCACCCACTACTCACCACCCACCACCCACCACTCACCACCCACCTACCACCACTCACCACTCACCACCCACCACCCACCACCCACCACCCATCATCCCACCACTCACCACCCACCACCCACCACCCACCACCCACCACCCACCACTCACCACCCACCACTCACCACCCACCACCCACCACCCACCACTCACCACCCACCACCCACCACCCACCACCCACTACCCACCACCCACTACTCACCACCCACCACCCACCACTCACCACCCACCTACCACCACTCACCACTCACCACCCACCACTCACCACCCACCCACCACTCACCACTCACCTCCCACCACCCACCACCCACCACCACCACCACTCACCACCCACCACTCACCACCCACCACTCACCCCACCACTCACCACTCACCACCCCCACTCACCACTCACCACCCACCACTCACCACCCACCACACCCACCACTCACCACCCACCACTCACCACCCACCACTCACCACCCACCACTCACCACTCACCACCCACCACCCACCACCCACCACCCATCACCCACCACCCACCACTCACCACTCACCACCCACCACTCACCACCCACCACTCACCACCCACCACCCACCACTCACCACCCACTACTCACCACTCACCACTCACCACTCACCACCCACCACCCATCACCCACCACTCACCACCCACCACCCACCACTCACCACTCACCTCCCACCACCCACCACTCACCACTCACCTCCCACCACCCACCACCCACCACCCCACCACCACACCACACCCACCACCACCACCCACCACTCACCACCCACTACTCACCACTCACCACCCACCACCCATCACCCACCACCCATCACTCACCACCCACCACTCACCACTCACCACCCACCACTCACCACCCACCACTCACCACCCACCACCCACCACTCACCACCCACCACTCACCACCCACCACCCACCCCACCACCCATCACCCACCACCCATCACTCACCACCCACCACTCACCACTCACCACCCACCACTCACCACTCACCACCCACCACTCACCACCCACCACTCACCACCACCCATCCACTCACCACCCACCTACCACCACCCACCACCCACCCCACCACCCATCACCCACCTGTCGGGCGTGGACAGGTACTTCTGCTTCTCGAACTTCTTCTCGAGGCCGAGCAGCTGCAGCTCGGTGAAGACGGTGCGACTCCGCCGGCACTTCTTCCCTTTCCTGCCGCACGACTCCGCCTCCGCCGCGGCCGCCGCCGCAGCAGCCGCCGCCGCAGCCCCGAGCTTCCCGCGGAGGTGCAGGGCGATGGACAGCGAGTGCACCGAGCTCCCCACGCCAGGACGGCCGGGCCCCCCGCTCCCTGTGTGGTCCCCTCCGCACATCATTCCCCCCGAGGCACCGCCGCCGCCGCCACCGTTGCCGCCACCCATCGGGCCACCGCCACCGCCGCCGCCTCCTCCTCCTCCCAAGAACGTGGCCCCCGCTTGCACGGCGTGGTGGTGGTGGTGGAGGGCGGCTCCTCCGCCCGTGAACTTCAGCAGAGCCGCGTGGTCTGAGCCGGTATGGAGAGAAAGAGCAGGAGGATGAGGAGGATGATGGAGGGAGTTTAGGAGGATGGCTACCCGCAGTGGTATGGAAACCGTGCAGGTAAAATTTTGGATGTGCGGCGGGTGGCGGGTGGGGAGGGGGGGCAAAGCCGGGGCAGGCTGCGGCATGGAAACCGTGCAGGTAAAAATTGTGGATGTGCTCAAGTGGACGTCAGCGTAACGTTGCTGTGGCAGAACGCGCGAGCACACAACATGAAGCGAGCGAATGTCGTGGTAACACCGCGTTGAAGAGAAGCGTGGACACGTGATCGGTCTGTCGATGAATTGTGGCATGGTTGAGGACGCTGATTGGGGGTGAAATGGAGGGGGGGGGCATACCAGGAAGGTTGAGAGTCACTAGTTTAATGAGTATTGCAAAACGGCGATTCGATTAATCGATTAAAATAATTGATGATTGCGCTCAAACCGCGTGGGTCGCGTCGGATGCGTGCCCGTTGAGAGAAATGATTGCGTGTGATGTATGCAAATTTTACGCAAATCGTATGCAAATGAGCTCGAGTGTCGGTGCTAAGTGGATCGTTAGTTCGCATCGCAGGACCGTGAGAGATGGTGTCGCTTTGGGGAAGGGCCTTCATCCAGCAGCAGATTGATCATGGCTGACGATGACGCTGGTTTTCAAGTCATGCATATTGGCGACGCATAAAAATATAACGTTATGCATTTTAAAATATTCCTTCACAATCAAAAGTATTTCGTACACATCAACATCGCTCGCGCGGCCTTGTGGAAGTGCATCATTTTCGGCAAGCAATTGATTCAAGACAGGCAAACAGTCTGGAACGATTTCGACAAAAGTGTCTCTCATCAGCAACAATCAGTCAGTTGGCAACACGCACACCCACACAGCTCTTTTTAAAATCATTTATATTAAGTTCACTTGCTTACTTAGGACCGTGAAAATCTTTCGGTCGTTTTTTAACCCACTTCCCGTGATCCAATCGAGCTGACATTTTGCACACAGACTCGTTGTGCGTGACAATGCTTTTTCGTGGAAAAAAATCCTAAATTTTACACTGTTTAGGGAAAAAAATATATATTTAATTACCAATTGTTTAATGCTGCCAGACAATCATCTGACCCATAGGTGGCAGCCATCTCAAGCCAGAGGACGAGAGGACTCTAGCCGCCCCGATGCCACGCATATAAAGGATTTATAGTGAAAAACTTTGTTTTTATGGGTTAATTTTTATTTCAAGATTCGATTGAATCAATATTTTATACGAACAACGAATTGATTTTTAAAATGGACGATTTGAACGAAAACCAAACCGAGTCCCTATTACCGCTCACCGAGCGTACGCTCGATTGAGATAAGCCACGTGTGATGGAACACGTGCGTCGTGACGTACGTGTAAACCTACGTCATCATCATCGTCGTCATCGTCGTCGTCGTCACAATCATCAGCTGTCTACTGCGTGGTTGGACGGTCGCCATCTCTCGCGTTGTAACGATGCAACAATCCGCCTCGCTCCTGCTCACGGTGAATTGAGTCGCTTCCCTTTCGTAATGAGTCTCGAATAAGTAGCCTCGTGTGCTTTGCTGAAATAGACTGCTTATTAACATGTGTATCGATCTTGATTTTGGAGCTTTCGTGACTGCAGGAATTATTCTTTGGTTCTTTCGGTAAAGTCACGTATAAAGATAAAATAATAAATTAAATAATAGCATACGACGTTTCCATTGCAACACAATCAATCATCATCAGGTATAAATGAAATAGCAACAAAAAATCTCTCCAAATGTTCAAGCCTGCGTACTTTACTACGCGTCTCTTCGTACTCATTGACATGTACATGTTGTCTCTAACCCCTCCCTCTCTCTGCCTCCGCCCCCCTCTGTCTATTTAAGGCCACCCCACAGAGACGATCTCCCTCTCTGTACCTTTGTTACTCTCTCTATGTATCTTGGTGATATCTGTCTGCTTATATGTCTGTCTATAGTTTTCTGGTTAGATTTTTTGTTGCTATTTCATTTATACCTGATGATGATTGCTTGTGTTGCAATCGAAACGTCGTATGCTATTATTTAATTTATTATTTTATTTTTATACGTGACTTTACCGAAAGAACCAAAGAATATGTGTATCGATCAACTGTGAATCAAGCGCAGTGGTTTATTTGACCAGGTAAGGCCCCCCACTGAGCAATGTAGCTCTTTGTGAGAAGCGACCTGGTCACTAATTATAGCTCAACGAAGTGGCTTATCACGTGGTAATTTATAGCGGCCAAATACTCGAAACGGATGTTGATTCTAAATGTGGAGGGAAAAACCAGAGGACTCGGAGAAAAATCCACGCGACCACGAGGATAGAAACCTGAAAACTCCAAATATACAGCAGCAGGCGTCAGGATGGAACCCACGACCTCCTGTATACCAGGCGAGGTAGTTAGCATCTCACCAGCGTGGCGCCTACTGCTATGAATCCACCGGCCTCAGTTCCGATCCCTGGGCATGGCCAACGTCAGTGGCGAGTGATATTTGTGAACCCATTGAGTTGTGAAGTATGACCCAACAGGTTGACATCACTGACGCCGATGCGAGGTGAACGTCGGTATGGCAATGTGTTTTGCACAATTGACAAACTTCAGGAATTAGAATTTTTCCATCCGTCGCATGTGCCAACCAACGGTGCATGCCTATATACGTACATACATATGATTACGTATATATGTGAATAGCACTACACATATACAAAGACAAAGATCCCTCGTATAGCCTGTAACAGACTGTTGGGGCAAGTGCTGTTATAGAGCACCTATGAAGGCCGGCACAGCACACGAGGGGGTGGGTGACCAACACCTCGCCCGGCCGCCTTTGTCTCCCCAGTGGCGATGTTCACACAATGCTCCAGGTACTCATTTGAGGGTAAGTCGATCCAGATAATCGTCACCGGTGTTGACCATGATCAGGAATATATGCGGGATTTGTATCGCACCGTGCTAAACGCTGCCCCACGGCTCCCCACACACACATATACATACAAACGTATATCCACATATACATATCAACCTTCACGTATTAAGACACATACACTTGCGCATAGAAACATATACAATAATACATAACCAAATAAACATACCCACACTCAAGACGTATCTACGAACACACAAGCACTAAACAGATGTATTCACACATTGCTATGATACTGCGTTGACAGTAACAATAGCATGACGCATTCGCCAACACGACTGCCACAATGAGGACTAAATATAGACTAACCGACGTTTCGGGCAATGGCCCTTTTTCATAGCATCTCTCTGATATGAGGCAGTACCGTTGCACGAAACGTCACCTATATAAGTTTGTTACTGATATTATTAAATTCATTTTTTATATTATAGAATGAGTTCAGTTTTCCTTTACTCAGAGCACACGGTTCTATAAATAGCAATCACACAGGTGTACATACACACACAATCACACAGGTGTACATACACACACAATCACACAGGTGTACATATACACACAATCACACAGGCGTACATACACACACACTCACACAGGTATACATACACACACAATCACACAGGTGTACACACACACACAATCACACAGGTGTATACACACACACAATCACACAGGTGTACACACACACAATCACACAGGTGTATACACACACACAATCACACAGGCGTACATACACACACACTCACACAGGTATACATACACACACAATCACACAGGTGTACACACACACAATCACACAGGTGTATACACACACACAATCACACAGGTGTATACACACAATTACAGGGGAATAAATGGCGATGTTTACACACCGTACCAGGTACTTATTTAAGGCTGAGTCGACCTAGAAGACGCCCAGGACCGGTTCAGATCGTGGCCACCGGTTCAGTTGGCCGTGAACAGAAATCACATTTCTTCCTCCCCCCCCTCCCATTGGCACGCTCGGTTGCGTACGGCGCGAAACAAGTCCAACATACATACACACATCCACACACACACACAACTGCGTACACAATTACACTAATATGGTGCGATTCGCTTGTTTCCCAGCCAAAAGCAGCAAACACAAACACACACACAAACACACACACACAAACACACTCACACGTGTGCACCACAATTCCCATTGGCACATACACGTGCATGAATAAAGAATTCTGCATCTGATTAGCCGACTTACTATCTTGAGCCTGTGGCTGCAGTGGTTTGCGCACTGCATGCGCTCATTACACGATATACAGGTTTGCCTCGCTTTATGCGGTGGTCGTAGCAGTAGTAGATGCGTTCGCAAAAAAAGGGCGCACAAAGCGAAACCGAAAGATGAGACAGCTGCCAGCCGAGTAGCGCAAACAGTACACACACAGTACACACACAGTACACAGACAATGTTGTCCCACGCATGTCCCGCATATGAGTGAATTTAAACCGCATACAGCGAATTTTGTGTCGAAATAGGTGAGCCTCATATATCGAGCGAAATCGCACAAACCGAACCCAGGAATAGAAACTCTGCAACCTTAGTGTGCCGGGTCCCTCCTACAAACCTCACTTTAACATAAATCACACTGGTCCTTATAAATAGATACACATGTTAAACATGTAACACATCCCTGTGCAATGACAGGAGCGGATTACGCGCGCTATTGCAGTTGTATGCGTGTAGACATATCTATACGATATTCTATACATTTGATAATATGTAACACATACATACATAGATATAATACATAACACGCATTTTATTGTATGTAATAAGCCTAGCCATATTTCGTATCATCGTCGTTGTATATCTATGCATTGCATGCATATGTAATATATGCATACATACAACTAGCAATCACACTAGCATGAGTTG